TTTACAAGAATAATTTTCCGTCTGAAAAATCATCTTTCTTCAAATTTTCTTATTCAATATTTCACTGATATCTTTATAAAAATATGAAAACTTGTTTTCGTAGTTATTTATAAAATGATAAATAATAAATATTACATTTTAATCTGTCGATATATTTTGTAATTTTTTAGAAATTTGTAATAAAAAATATTTATTTTCAATTTTTTTATAAAATAGTAAATAATAAATATCGCTTTGTACTTGGTTCGCATACTTCTAAAATCCTGCAAATAAACATTTTCAAGGGAGTCAAACGTGTATATTCTAATAGCAGCGTCAAGAAAATAACTGTGCTTTTGACGCACCGTATTTTTTTACGAAGGCTACCGTATTTTCCGACTTACAAGACGCTGCAGCTTGGAAGACGCAGCCTAATATTAGAAAAAGTTTCTAAGAAAGAAAAAAGTTATTCTCATACAACAAATTTGCCATGTATACCTCACATTCTGGCGCCACGTATCGTTTACATTAATCACTCGTCCGATTTTGTTTGTATGACAATGAAATACTAGTCAAGAACAGAAAGTCTCCCGCCGCTGCTAGTAAAAAGAGCATGTTTAAGTTTGTGGCTCGGCTCCAGGAAGGTTTATAGACTTGGAACTACTTGTAACAGCTAATTACGGAGGTAACATCAATTAAAAGGCTGAATTAGATAGCTAGCTAACATTATAGTGTAATGACTCAACATACAATTCCACATCCCTATCAGTCAAGCCAATTAGGTGACCGTCTAGGTTTACTTGAACTTGGGCGTTGCTTTACATTCCTCTTGGAAGATGCACACGTATTTTCAGGGTATTTTTAAGAGAATAAGTACGTCTTGTAAGCCGAAAAATACAGTAAATATTACCGATATATTCCTAAGTTTTAATATTTGCTTAGATTCTAGAAGGCATCTTTCGCTATTCCTATACTTCCCCTCACTATCATTATCTCTATGCAACTAATTTTTTTAATTCATAAGCTCCTACTATCACCTTAGTCAAAACTGTTGTTTAAGTTACCCTGCCCTAGAGCAGTAAATTGCAAGCTTGATTCGACCAAGATGGAATAACAAATCCATGTCCTACTCTTACGCACAATAAATTCAATGACAAATCGGTCCAGTCATTAAACTTTAAATTTATTGATCCGCATTTGTTCATTCAACCCTAATTAATTTAGGATTTTAGATGTTATGAAGCGATTTTTTTTTCTTCTGGTGTTGTTTTTTTATTTATTCTTTACTCGTCATTTCACCAAAGAATAGGTTAGCTAGCAATTTTCGTTTAAATCACCTTTTTTAAATTTCAATGCAAGAAAAACAAGGAGGAATAAAATTTCCTCCTCTGCTTTGCCATATCAAAGTACTTCTTTTTTTTCTGTCTGTAATTGATCTGTAACGGTTAATTATTGTCCATTCAGTGAATTAAGCAACTTCTAAAATGTTTCATGGCCGCGAGATATCAGCGAATTGAAAAAAAAAACCACTTCAGCGAACGCTTCCAGCAACAGCTGTTTCAAATGAAATAATCAGTGATTCCAAATTAAGTTTATCAAAATGGAAGACTAAAGACGTGTTCTTCTAAGTAACCATGCGTTCAATATTTCCAACTAACATGATCATCAATTATTCAGCTTTTAATCAATGCCACAAGCTTTGGTTGAGATTTCACGGGGATCCACACCATAGAAACAAGGTAACACCTCGTCTCACAGACCATTAAATTCGATCCTTGATGAGCGACCTGTATTTGTGCTCTTATAAAAAAAAGTAAAATAATTCTTTCTTCTCGACCTGTGAAGGCCCTTAGTTACACGTATATGTCCACGAGAACTCCCCCTCTTTTCCGTTTATGGGGAGAAATAGCCTATTGCCCTACATCGCTTGCATATTACGTGTTGGTGGGGTCAGATGTGACACTTCGGCAATTATGTCTCTTTTCGATCAATTATTGACGAGTCAGAAGAATTCCCGCTGCCATCACTTAGACTGGTTGCCAAACAAGGCTATAGGGTCAGTCTCTTCTATTGTTTAACCTATACCTGAGGTGAGAGAGAAAAATAGATTCGTAACTTTCCAAGGGTATTCGAACGTAATGAACTCGACTAGAATTCGAACCCAGATCTCCGAGTTCTTATTCCGACACATTATTCATCACACTACCCTCACAGCATCTTCTATTCCAGAGCGATCACCCATCTAGATACTGATAGGTTCAATGTAGCTTAACTTGTCGGACAGTAGAACAGGTGTTTCAAAGTGATATGGTCGCAAACAAATACTAGTAGACCGCTACCTGAAATTTAACGAGTTGATCGCTTTCACCTGGTCCCGCAATTTTTCATAAAATTCTAAAAATCTCTCTTTTCGTTGGGTATTCGGTTAAGTAATTTTCGACGTGGGATTTGCGTTGTGGTGTAACGGATATAGGCTCGGAGTGAAAACTCGGAGTGCCGAGTTCGAATTTCAGCCGAATTCGTTAGATTCACTTACGCACAATTACCCTTAGGAAAATTATGAATCCATCTCTTCTCCTCCCCAGGTATGAGTTAAATAGCAAAACAGACTGGGTTCTTTAAACTTTATTGGAAACCTGTCTACCGCAGAAAGAAATGGCAATCTACTGTTTGAAAATTGTTCTGCTTCCTCAGTCATGTAATGAAAGACACATGATCGCTCAAACGTGTATCACGTATGGCACTTAATTGCGAGTCAGTTTTCGACGATTCCGGAAAATGTTTGGTCGAAACAATATAAAAATTCCATATTGCATTTATCACTTTAAACTAACCCCAGACCCCAAGTGCAATTCGTACATTCGTTCCATTGCTAAAGAAACAGGAAGAATAGTCAGTTATTTGTATCACACCAATGAATAACTGACTCTTCCTGGTATCCAGAAACTTTAAAAGAAATGGAGTACTGCCGTCATAATTGGGCAAGGGTTGTCCTGTCTTTTCCAGTTTCGATAGTCAAAAGTGTCTCCGCGTCCTTGTAGGTGACAAACTATTTTCCACCCCTTAACCCCTCTCTCACAGACGGGATGTGACAAAACTTTCCTTACTCTACCACTACTTCCATGGAAAGTGCGCGGATGAACTACAATTCTTGGTTCCGCTAGCTCTAAACTTCGCGGCTAGGACCCGCCATGCCACTCGCATTGAAGCAGACCCCAGTCATTCGTTCTTTATTTCATTGGTACGAAATAAGTTCCACTCTTACAACTTCTTCCCACGAACCGGTATTCTGTGGAACCGAGTCCCAAGAGGGTATTTCCTCTGTCACTACAATATAAACCTGTCCAAGTCTAGGGTTAATCGTTAACTTCCCCGCCTATCCGTATAAACTATACCTCTTAGACTATAACGCTTCACCTAAATTGGCCATCTGGCCTTGTATAGGGTGAACCTCACTGGAAAAAAATCAAGTTTTTATTTTATAAACGTAATTATTTGGCTTCATTTCTTCTCCTATATACCTTAATAAATGAGCAATCATGGCTCTCCACAACAGCCTATCCTTTGTCACCATACATCCTAATACCTGTCCTGTTATCCAATTTACAGAAGCTCGTTAGGTAGGTTTCTTGTCGCTTTTTTACGTCTCTTCTGTCCTACAATGTCTTGTGACTGTCACACTCCTCACGGTTTGTAATTCCAAGCTCCTTATCTTAAACCGGTTACCATATCACAATGAAACACCGGGTCTCGAACGATCACCGAAGTTAAGCTACGTCGGTACCTAGTTTGGTGACCGTTTGGGAATATGACTTGCTGTAAGCTTGGATGTGCGGGTGGTGTAATGTTTAGCAACACGGAATTAAAGATCGGAGATTCGAATTCTAATCCCAGCCGGGTTTGTTATATTCACTTACGCGCAAATACATTTTAGGAAGGCATGAATTCACAAATCCCCCCAGATATGGGTTAAGTAAATACTTATTACCTCCAAAGATTCTTACGCGCTAAAAATATGGTTTGGTTTTAACCACCTGAAAATGTTTTATATGGTAAGAATCAATCTAATTGATCAAGAAATACATTGTTTGTCACACAAGGTTAGAGAGCGTCGTCTACCACAAGATTTCACTCATAGCTGCAGGAACAACAGACGGATGTTTGCCTTTCCCAAGGGAAAGTTCATAAAAGTAAACATAATAGGCTAATCCAGATTTTGTAACGGTCATTATCATGTCTGAAATGGTTTTCTCTTTTATTAATAAAAGGCATGAGCTCCCCCCTCTCTCTCTCTCTCTCTATATATATATATATATATATATATATATATATATATGTGTGTGTGTGTGTGTGTGTGTATATATATATATATATATATATATATATATATATATATATATATATATATATATATATGATTATTTATATAGTATATGCGCGGTACTTATTAGAAAGCGCTCAATATCAGAGATAGAGCTAACATATTTCGTTGGATTGATGTGAGTTTGCGACCCTGGGTTTCACGCTTTAGCGATCGTCAGACAAACTGATTTTTTTTTTAAATTTTGGGTTTATGTAGATTGCGTGTATTGGTGTTATCGTGGAAGTGGTAGGGGAAACGTCGTCGTTGTGTCACCGTACTAACATGTTTATATATGTATGAGTCCCGACAGACGACCAAGTATGTATATGTGTCTGCGTACTCCATTAGGCGTATGAACATATATCGATGTTTGCGTTAGTACGATGACACAACGACGATGTTTCCCCCACCACTTCCATAATAAGACCAATGCACGCAATCTGCATAAACCCAAAATTTTAAAAAATTAATCAGTTTGTCTGACGATCGCTAAAGCGTGAAACCCGAGGTCATAAACTCACATCTATCCAACCAAATATATATATATATATATATATATATATATATATATATATATATATATCAATTTTTATTTTCTTTTGTATTTATATTCTCTCTCTCTCTGTTTCTGTCTCTGTATCTACCTATCCATATATGTATGTATCTATCTCTTTTAATTTTATTTTTTATTTTATTTCTCTCTCTCTCTTTCTCTCTCTCTCTCTCTCTCTCTCTCTCTCTCTCTCTGTGTGTGTTTCTATTTATCTATCTATCTATCTATCTATCTATCTATCTTTTTATGTTAATTTTCTTTTTGTATTTATATTCTCTCTCTCCCTCTCTTGCTCTCTCTGTTTCTATCTATCTATCTATCTATCTATCTATCTATCTATCTATCTCTTTTAATTTTATTTTTGTATTTATATTCTCTCTCATTCTGTGTTTCTCTCTGTCTATCTATCTATCTATCTATGTTAATTTTCTTTTTGTATTTATATATTCTCTCTTTTCTCTCTGACACACGGTCACGTTAAGCTTTTTCTTCTTCATTCAGCTATGCATCTCTTTTCATTTTAAGTCCTACAATTTTTTTTCTCGGAGATATCGATTATCTCCCTTTGTCCTTTTACAATCCATTCTCACATTTTCTTTCTTCTCTCTCTCTCTCTCCCTTTCTCAGATTCATACACATATACACTATTTTTCTTTCTGACATTCTTCTCCCTATCTATCTATCTATCTATCTATGTTAATTTTCTTTTTGTATTTCTATCCTCTCTCCCTCTCTCTCTTTCACTCACTCTCACGTTAAACTTTCGCTTCTTCATTCAGCTATGCATCACTCCTTTACATTTTAAGTCCTACAATTTGTTTCTTACATGGATCGATTAACTCCCTTTATCTTTTTACAATCCCTTCTCACATTCTCTCTCTCTCTCTCTCTCTCTCTCTCTCTCTCTCTCTCTCTCTCTCTCTCTCATATTCACACACATATACACTATTTTTCTTTCTGTCAGTCCTCACTCTCTCTTTATCTATATATGTTAATTTTCTTTTTGTATTTATATCCTCTCTCTCTCTCCCATATTCACACACATATACACTATTTTTCTTCCTGACAGTTGTTCTCTCTTGACTTCTTTGACCGGCATATGTTCACATGACTTTTCACTCGCTTGCAGCTTTTAGTCACCCTTTGTTGATTACTTTCTTTGATTAATTACAAGAAAAACATTAATTCGTAAGCCGACATGATTTTTGCCCGCAGGATGATCAGGAACCAAAAAATTCCATTTACACCAGATTGATCTAATCTTAAAATATATGTGATATATATATATTTTTTTCTTCACGTCGACTGCTTTTAATAACAAAGATTTCACACACAAACCGATGTGCTAAAACGTGCTCACATAGTCTCAGAAACACAGATATTTACACATTCCAGCCTATTCAACATATATTAAGTGTATTTAATCAGCAAGAATTTATTGAAAGAATAAATAATTTTCTAGCGACAAGGTATGTCTAGGTTTATTTTATATAACTTTTTTTTCTTTTTTTTGTTTATTTTTTAAATTTCCAATCAAGATGTACACCTGAATCAAAAGTTTGGATAAAGCCTCCAAAGTTGATGTTGTTATTCTAATTTTTGTCCAAGTGCTTTCGATTGTCTGAGTCATTATCAACAATTTGTGTTGTTAGAATGGCAAACAAGAATGTGAAATATTTTACAATGTTCTCAGAATATATAAATTCTCTTCAAATATATGCGTACCATATAATTGGCGTCGCGTATAAAAGGATTTACTGTGTGTTGTAGAGTGGTTTCACAGTGGAGGCTTGTATTTGTACTAAGTCGGTCCTAAAATAGGATCGACGTACAAAACGTTAGGAACTTGATATAATAGGTAATGACGCAGTAATCTAGTTGTGGTGGCTGATACTTTAATATCCGACTAACGGTCGTCCAACATCGACTGACTGACCCACTCACTGAGCGGCTCAGCGACTGTTACTGCTCCTACTTATTATAGGTGGGAGAGTCTATTAACTATAGAATAGGTGTGTTCCACTATACTGAGCCACACGACTCCCGAAAAGAATCTATTGAATATTTTACACATATTTTTATTACATATGTGAGACCTATTTCCTCCACGTCAACCTATAATTCTCTTCATCTATCTTCATATTCTCACTCCACCGCTCCTCCCACTAGTAATAATAGACCTGCCTACCACTTTTACATCGATCAAAAATTTAAATTTAAGTTTAACGAGGATCAGGCAAAGATCGGGTTTTTGCTAACAATATGATTTCCACCAGAAAATACATCGTCGACAAAAACATCTGTCGGTGAGTAATTCCCATTTCTCTGTTTATTCCTCGGTCCGTTGATAAAGGACACAGGTGTGTCCAAAAATTCCGAACTTAAAAACTTTCTTTCCGTGCTTCATTCCTGTCAAATATTTAATAATTAATATTTAATAAATGTTTATCGTCCTGATTATATCGGTACCCTTTTTATTTTTTCCTAGTTTTATTGTCTAACCTATATATATATATATATATATATATATATATATATATATATATATATGTGTGTGTGTGTGTGTGTGTGTGTGTGTGTGTGTATATATATATATATATATATATATATATATATATATATATATATATATCGAGGGAAAGTAAAAAAAATATAGCCACACTCTTGTCTCAATATATGTTACGGCGAAAGTTCAGATAATTTCTGACTTACCCTTGTATAAATAAGGTGTACTACGTGCTGAAAAGTTCTCTGCTCGACCCACTTTCCATAATTTCATAAAACATATTCCTTAAAAACTATTTTTAGTCTAACCGAGAACTTTTTAGCTCTTCACGTTGCCCATAAGACGCGTTATTCGTATTGAAATTTCGAAGACCACTGATGTTACTGAGTTGAGGATGCGTCATTCTAAAAGAAGTGTGATGACATCAGCGGTGTAGCCGTAGCGTTGGTATATAATTATCCAATTTATATAACAAAAGAGACTGAATGAAAACGAGGCAAAGAGAGAAAATCCGGTAGAATTTAAGAAGGCTGTTGAAGCTGCTTCTCACTTGACACTAAATAAAATCTTCATACAAGTATAAAGTATCGATTTTTAGTTCTTGTTTGAATTCATAATTCATTTTTAAAAAAATCTTATAGCTCGAACGTTTTCTCGCTGCTGATTACCGTCTGACTTTATCAATTTTTGCGCATGCGTGGTTTAATGACTCAAATGTTTCAGTTCATAGGAGATGTAATGAAGCATGTTTCTCGTATAACTCGTCATTCACAAAGAATTTGCAGGATTTATAAGACCGCCTGGAATACGAATAATTCACATGCTATTCTCACTCTATGTTGTCTTATTTATACTTTGAATCATGTCTTTGCATATCGAGGAGATGTAACGGTTAGAAAACTTGTCTCGTTAGATCACTTACAACTGAACAGTGAGTTCGATCCTCACTGGGTACTCCTTTCGGCCTTGTGCCACATGTAAGCTTACGCTTAGTTACAAGCACTTCGACGTGGGATAATGGTTCGCAAGCTTGCCTCGCTAGTCCAATTACGACTGAGCATCCCATACTTTCAGCCTTGTGCCACATATAAGATACGTTTAGAAAATCATTTGGGCACTTCGACGTGATATAATGGTTATCAAGTTCGTCCCTCGCAATTCTGACTGAATAGCAAGTTCGATCCTCATTGGGTGCTCCTTACTTTCGGCCTTGTGCCACATAAAATTTACGATTAGAATATCACCATGTTTTAAGGTATGTCGTAGATAACGTTGTTGGAAGACGATGCCAGAAGTGATTTTAGTTTAAGAGTAGTCAACGATATATCAAACCTCGTTTTGATTCTTTTACATATCATGGTCATATAAGATATGGCTAAACACAGCTCTCCATAGCTTCCCCTCTTCTCATTATAATTTAGTTTTAACCATTCATTATCCTTTCAAATTAAATCGTTTACTCATTGTTCCCCCTTCTGTCAGTGTTTAATTATTTAGAACCCTTTCGTCTTGTTTCCTAGGAGTTTCAACTGTCTCTTTCTGATTGTAAGTATACATCACCTTCTATTTCATATTTTCCTAAAGACCTCTTCAATGCTCATATGTTCCCTCCATTGTTTTTTAAGCATTCGACGGTAGGTCTGCATTTCCGTTGATTCGGGTTTCTCTGTCTGTGAAGATATTGACCAGCTTTTGCGGTCTTATTGAAGAAAGGAAATGATGATGACTGTAGCTGTCTTCTGCTAGCGAGCAAACTGGTTCCGTTTTCTTATGATGGCAAGGGGAGTTTGATCTCTTCTCTCTTGCCAGCTTAATTACGAAAAGGCATACGTCAGAGCAGGCTTATTTCTAATGTTATTTTCCGAGGTTTTACCTCCACTTGCCTAGTTTCTGGAAGGCATATTTCTCTATAGTAGTGGGCTTTCAATTTTAACCTTCATCTATTTCTACAGTATGCTTAATTTTACCTCCTGTCCAATATGTGCCTCTTACATTGAGCAGGTTTTTTTTTTGCTGATGACCAAGTATCCTGCCTGCTTCCATCTTACAACCCTTTATTCATGGGAATACAACATTATTGGCAATACACTACTCCAAAATGAATCTAAAAGAAAACTAAAATTTGTTGTATAAGCTTTCTAATATAATGACTCATTGCTAAAAGGCTGATTTATGAATTATTTTTAAACTCAGCTTCTTCTATATGCCGTGTCCCTTCGGGACGTTATCGATCATGACTCTCCACAACTTCCTATACTCTTGTATCTATTAGTATCATTGTCTTTATCTATCCCAATTCCTGTTCTGCTGCACATTTACACAAGAACGTTAGGCAGGTTACATTTCTCTTCCCCTCTCGCCTTCAATATGTCCTGTGCGTATCAAATTCTCTATACCTTCTTCCCTTATTGTACGCCCTCGAAATTTCAATAGTCTCTTTCTGACTTTTTCATCGTATTCTAATGTGCTTTTACTTTAAAGAAATCCTTGATTGTGATTGTATACATCTCTACGCCTGTATTATAAGATACGTGGCGTTTTTTCATGGCAAAGGAGACAGAATGAAATATGTTTGGAATGAACTGTGCCATCAGCTCGTGAATACATTGTAAAGTACAGTGCCCAAACTAAGGAAGAATTTATTTAAATTGTGGTCATGTGACTCTTGTTAAGGACTTCAAGAAACTGGAACTATTTATAACTTATACTGGAACACACCTATTCTATAGTTAATAGACTCTCCCATTTATAATAAGTAGGAGTAGTAGCAGTCGCTAAATCGGGCAGGAAGTTGGTCAGTCAGTCGATGTCGGACGACAGTTAGTCGGATATTAAAGTATCAGCCACCACAACTAGATTACTGCGTCATTAACTATTATATCAAGTTCCTAACGTTTTGTACGTCGATCCTATTTTAGGACCGACTTAGTGAAATACAAGTCTCCAATGTGAAACTATTCTATAACAATAAAAATCTAAATGCTTTCTTTCCTTAATGTTGATACTACCAGTTTTTCTTAATTTTGATACTACCATTTTGATACTACCAGTTTAATTTTTGATACTACCAGTTTCTTTATGCTCACAATACTTATCAAATGTCGACTTAGAGTTTCGTAATGTCTAACCTGTCAAGAATCGATAAGAATGCCTTAATTACAAAATCTTTATTTATCTGAACTTCCAACTAATTTAGGTGTAACAGTCGAAGAATAATGCAGCATTATTATTATTTATTTATTATTGCTATAATAATTGTTTATTATGTTATCATATTAATAAATAAAGGTATAAATAAAATAAGTTAATCTAAATTTATAACCGTAAAGAGAGGCAGAGAGTTCGACTCGGCTTGAATCGGTACCTAGACCCCCCCATTCCCGCCGAAGGTTGCATGTGCCACAAGGACGAGTTTAACGTGGGTTTCCCGAACCCGTAGGCTCGGCCAAAAAATACCCATAGAACCCGTATAAACGAGATCGGGTTGGTCAACCTCCCCGAACGAGACTCTGCCCTTCGGCGGAGCCTCGTCCGGGTTTCTCTCTGCTCAGAGACAGAGAGTTCGACCGTCAAGCCG